CTGGTAGTACCGGCGTGCACCACCACACCCAGCGAAATTTATTCTTTTTAAAAAAGATTTTGCCTCATTATTTTATTGCCTCTTGAAATTCTGTGTAAATATGAGTACCATTGTTTCCATTTTTGCAGTAAAACTATTGACATTTTTATAGCAATCATGTTGAATCTCTAGATACTATGGATACTGCTGCCATTCGTGGATCCTGTGCTTGCCAATTAATGAAGTTAAGATTCTTTCCACTACTTGGGTCTTGTTTGATTTCTTCAATAGTGCTTTGTAATGTACAAGTCTTTTATCTCTGGTTACATTTATTCTATTTACTTGTTTATTTTGATGCTATTATAGAGAGCTTTAAAAAAATTTTTTTTTCTTTTGGGGATAAATTCAACCTTTTGCCTGTTCATTCTGTATTCTACAACTTTACTCAAATCAGTTATTTTATTTTATTTTTAAAAAATCAGTTATTTTAATGTGTGTGTATGTCTAAGGTTTTCTGAATAAAAGATCACATCATTTGTGGGAAGAGATAATTTTACTTTTTCCTTTCCAACTTGGATTCTTTTTCTTTCTGAGTGCCTTTAGCTAGACTGTTGAATACTCTGTAAAAGTGGTGGAAGTTGATGTCGTTTTATTTCTGCTCTTACTGGGGGAAACTTTCAGTCCATATCACAGAATGTGTTAGCGGTGAGTTTTTCATGTAAGCCCTTTATCATGTTTGGTTTGTTTTTTTTGTTTGTTTGTTTGTTTGTTTTGGTACCGGGGTAGAACTTGGGACTTTGTTCAGCAAAGTAGCCTGTGGAACCACTGAGCTAAATCCCCGGCCCAAGCCCTTTATCTATTATGTTGAGAAAATTCCTTCTGGACAGGCATGGTGGGCTACAGTTCCAGGTCAGTCTCAACTACATAGTGAGACCCTGTCTCAAAAAAAAAAAAAAAAAAAAAAAAAAAAAAGAGAAGAAAATTCCTTTTGTTTCTCATTGAATGTTTTCAGTGTTGCAATGGCACTGAATTTTGTCAAAGACTTTTTCTGTACATGATTGGTATGATTTTATGTTCTTTTTCCCTTTGTTTTATTTATGTGATTTTAACAGATGTTTAGCCATTTCATATTCTGGAAATTAACTGGATCTATTATTGATTCAGTCTCTTTAGTAGTTAGAAGTTTATTATTTACTCTGTTTCTTCATGAGTCAATTTTGGCAAATTGCATGCTTGTAGCAGTACGCCAGTTTCATCTTGATTATCCGGTTTGTTGGAGTATAGTTGCTTATTACTGTTTTATAATCCTTTTTTCTGTAAAATTATTAATACAGTTTGAGCATCCCTAATCCATCAATCTGAAATCTGAAATGCTCTGAAGTCTGAAACTTTTTAAGGGCCAGTGTGACACAAAAGTCTATGCAAATATTCCAAAATTCAAAGAACTTTGAAATATGAAACATTTCTGGTCCCATGCATTCCAGATAAGGCATACTCAGTAATGCCCCCGCTTTCTTACTTGATTTTTGTAATTTTAATTTTCTCTCTTTTTTAAAGTAAATCTAGTTTACAGGTTTGTTGATTTTGTTGAACTTTAAAAAAAAAAAAACTTTGGTCACCAGTTTCTCTATTTTATTTGTCTTGTCTAATCTTTATTATTCTGTCTTACCTGCTTTGCATTTCATTTGTTCTTTTAGTCATTGAAGGCATAGTGAGATTATTGTCCAGATGTTTATTTTATAATGCATGTGTTTATAGCAATATGTTTCCTCTTAGCATTGCTTTCACTACATTTTATGTTTTGCTGTGTTGTGCTTTCATTTGTCTCAAATTTTCCCTGTGATTTTTTTGATCTATGGTTATTTAAAAAGATGTCTCCACCTTTTCCCCCCCAGTATTGGGAACTGAACTGAGGACCTTCCACTTGCCAGGCAGGTGCAGCACCACTGAGCTCCATCCCTACCCCTAAAAGATGCCTTTTAATATCTACATATTGGTGAATTTTCCAGTTTTCCTTCTGTCACTAATTTCTGGTTTCATATTATTTTCCTTCAGAAAAATGTTTTGTATGATTTCCATCTTTTGAAAATTACTAAGCTTTTTGTGTGGCCAACATAGGGTCTACCCGGAGAATGTTCCATGCACACTTGAGAACATTTGTTGCTGGACAGAGTGTTCTGTTTGGTCTTACTGGCTTGTAGTGTCATTCAGATCTTTTTTTTCCCCCTTGATAATTTATCTTGTTGCCTACTCATTATTGGAAGTGGTATATTACAACCTAATTATTATTTTTCTTTCTTTAAAACCTCTATTGTTAAATGATCTTTCAGTTGTCAGTAATTTTGTTTAATTAATTTTTGTACCATTGATTTGTCTTTTAACTTTTTAAAACACATGATATACAGTTATAATTGTTTTAATGTCCTTGCTTGCTGATCCTCACATCTCTATGATCTGAGCCCACCCACCCTCCCCTCACAGTGTCTGGCTTTGCCCTGGCAATCCTCCTGCCAGGTGTGAGCCACCACGCCCAGCTCCTGAGTCATTCTCTGTTGAATGATTTTTCTCTTCCTTGACAAGGACAATGCTTCAGTTGATAATGTTCTGGTGTCCCATTCACTAGTGTCTGTTGTTGTCTTATTCTCTTATAAATTTTCATATTCCACTTACTGCTTATTTCAAAGGCTTTGTTGAATATAATATCTAGTTTTAACTAAAATAGGCCTAAAAAAAGATTCCTGTAATGAAACTGAATTAAATGATCCTACTAACTATACAAACACAAGTGAACAAGAAAAAAGCTAAAATGACAGTTCTTTTACTTTTCTCCTGAGCTCCTTGACACCCACATAAAGAGATTGAAGAGGTGGTTTAAGCCAGTCTCATAAGAAGTGTCTCAGTTACACCCTCATTGCTGAGAGAAAATAACCTACACCCAAAATTAAAGGAGCAAAGGTTTGTTTTGGCTCACAGTTGGTAGGAGTTTCAGTCTGTAGTTGGTTGGCTCCATGGCTCAGTGGCGTTGCAGAGGGGCATCGTAGAGGAGAAATAGTTCATGGCAAGCAGGCAGGAGACAGCCAAGCAGCAACCAGCAGCAGAAGCAGAAGCGGCAAGCCTGCCTTCTCCTTGACCCTTTTAATCCCTTTCAGGCTACCCACCTTTTGGGTGGTGCTGCACACACCCAGGATGAGGTGTCCTTAATTCCTGCATCACACCCTTGATCCAGCCACCTCCAGAAAGCTCCACCTATGAGCACATGAGGCTTTAGGGGGACATGTAGAGATTTCCCGGGTGTGGATCAGGATGATGCCTTTCCTTTCATCTTCCTTTGTCTGTTGACCCTGATGGTAGGATGCCAGGGGCATTGTCTCCTGTGGGTGTTACTGCTATGTCACAGACAATGTCAGAAGACTAAGCCGAACACATTGTTAGTTATCTGTATGCATGCAAATTTTCCCTATGGCAGGGAGGGTGATTAGACTGTTGGTCAAGAAGCACACAAAAACAAATAATAAAGAAAGAAATAATGGGACAGGGAAGAAAAAACATGGAGACAGTGAGTTTCTTTACTTGGTTAATTAGGAAAGAGGCTGATCTCAGAACATGCATCTGCAGATAAAAAGGAAAAAAAATACCGTGTATATAGTACTTACTGAAAAGAATTTAACTGAATTCTCCAGACACTGTGACAGGCTGTCTCTGTATAGTGTCTACCAGTGGCTTTAATTTAGTAGGCACAGCAAGACCATTACCTTTCTCTGTATTTCTTTTAAGCAGTAGAACATGTAATAATTTTTACACAGATGTTTCTACTTTTAGGTGACATAATGCTTTATCTGGAATTGGTGAATATAAGATTATTTAGTATGTGGTCTTTGTTTGGTTGCAAAGAAATTTTATACTTCTTAGGTTTTCCTAGGACTACATAATTGTCACTGGCCTTTTACTTATGATATGGCTTTATCACCTGATCCAACATAGCCAGACAGACACCTATATCTATCTGCCTGTCTGTCTTTGGCACGCAGGCAGACTAGGCATAACACACATTTGAATATGGATTTTTGTTCCCTAACTTGTGTATGTAATGGAGCCTTCCAAAATTACCAGTGTTTTCATAATGGTGGCGAGTGTTCCGCTAGGCATTGCCTTTGTTTGTTAGATTAATAGTGGCAAGCTGGTAAGATCTCTTGTAAGCTTCGTCCCACACTTCTTGGGCCAGAGTTTTCCTTCTGGCCAGTGGGGCAGACTGCACTTTGTGTCTGATGATCTGTTAGAGACTCGAGAGCAGTTACTATTCATTTGAGCTGGATGGCATGGCAGCTGCTTTTCCTGGAGAGATGGGGGTCTAACAGAACTTGTGTAATTTCTTATGGGGGTCTCCTCTCTGCACAGAGCCATGCTCATATCCATTTGTCCCAGGTCTTTGGGCACCCACCTCTCTCTTGTGAAGATCCTTACAGCGTTGGGTGTATTACATGAAATTTTCTTTTGGAATTATGTGGTGGCACGTGGTCATTGACTGGGCTATGTAACCCTAATATTTTTCAGGATAAAATTGAAGCAGAATGGATAGGCAAGGAGTGAGTACCCCTTTTATACTATGCTGCTTACATTCAAGATCTGAGTTAGTGTTGAAACTATAGTGTCTGGGTGCTTAGGTAACCCCTGAAAACTCACCATCTTCGCTCTGTGAAGAACACTCTTCTCTGTTGTTTGCACCATAATTTGAGCTTTTGATTTTTTATATGTACAGTTAATTATCCATCACCTTAAATTTAGTTTAATTTTTCCTTGTTGGAAACAGTACAGGTATTTGTTTGAATTGCAAAGCATTTGCTTTTCCTTTAATCTGATTAAATCCCGAGCTGCTGATCTTAGTGACACTTTCTTTTATAAACATACCCAGAATTCCAAGGATTTGGGTTGTGAATTTGAGCCTTTGATAAAGTAGAGCTTTTCCATGTTCTGGTTTTCTTGACAATGAATATTCAAAGTACTAAAATTTTCTTTTCTTCAAGGTGTTGACTTCAAGGTGAAAACAATTTCAGTGGATGGGAATAAGGCCAAACTTGCAATATGGGTAAGAGTTTTAAAAGTATGTTTTTGTAAGTATTAAACTTGAATTTTTTTATGGAAGCAAAAGATGATTTAGTGTTGGAGAGTTGAACAAAACAACTTGTGTTACATGCCTTTGGGATACTTGATGTCCACTAAGAGACATAGCATATAGTTACGCGTGTCTTATGATGGGTAAATAGTCAGACTTATTCTGTTTAAATTTTTGCAATGTATATTCTTTTCAGAATATTTAAAAAAGAATTAAAACGCATCACATAGTCTTCCAGAGAGAATCACTTATGGTAGATATGTTCCATTAGAGTTTTAAAAAGGCCATCTGAACCAACACTGAATTGTCGAGGGAAACAAAGGAAGTGATGCTTAGGGAAAAAATTACCTTTCTTCTTTGTTAGTATAGATATTTATAAATTTTGAGTTTGCCAACTTTGGATTTTGTTTTTTTTTTTTTTTTGGTACTGGGGATCAAACTCGGGTCTTTGCGCTTGTGAGGCTGGCTGTGGCACCACTGAGCTAAATCCCTGGCCCTCTGAGGTTTTTTCTTGTGCTGTCCATCTTTACACCCTCGCCTTGCTTCTATTTCCTACGTTGTCTTAGCCGTCCGACACCTTTCCCAGCCTTTGATTTATCCATACCTGTCTCTAATGATTTCTGTTTACCTCTCAGAAAAGGAAAGCACAGCCTAAGACAAAAAGGTCTGCTGGGTTTATCTCACAAAGGTCATCGCACTTAGCACACATTCCTGATTTTAAAAACAAGTAGGAGCTGTGGTGTCTCCTCCTGCCTGGCAAGTGCAAGGTCCTGAGTTTGATCCCTGGTACCAAAAAACCCCCCAAACAAAACCCATATAGAAGCAAAAGCTCAACTTCTGACTATTCAGTATATAGTTTTGATAAATCCTGGTCTGATGCTTTTGCAACAGCGTTTTGTGCCCTGCCCCAAGTAGTAGTTTAACATTTTTATGAGTAAACCTGAAATGTCAAGACTAAATGTCTGATTTGATTAAATAGTCTTGTGTAAAATGTCAAAGTCACGTGTAATATTTTAGTATTAGGACATTGTTTGCTGTTGTCTTTACTTTGAAAACAATGTTTTATGGCTATCTTAAGTGGATTGCAATTCTGATTTTTATGTTGTTTCATCAGGGCAGTTTTTGAAGTTGATCTCAGTGAAGAGGAGTGAACAGAGTTACTGTTCATTCACTTTCTGGCTTCTGGAGTTATGGGTATAATTTCCTTCCGCAAATAGAATGGCTGCTTTCCTGTCGTAACAGCATGATTTTAGGATTGCATTATTTCATTCTTGATTCTTTCTCAAAATTATTTGTTATGAAGTTGAAACTATTCCATGTAAGGAAAAAAACTAAATTTTAAATTTCCCGATTTTCTGTTTCAAAACTGAATCTTCTCTTTTAAATATGGCTTTTCCTTATCTTTTAAGATTGTACTATTCAGATTTAAATGCTTAACATGATGGAATTCCCAAAGTTACTAAGTAGTTTGTTGCTAAAAACATATTTTACATGTAAATAAGTTGTTGAGCTTTGTCCTTTTAGAATATAATTGCTTATTTAGTTTTATGAATCAGATTTTCTCAGATACTGATCTAAGGCTATGAACTCTGAGTTTATTTCTATATATATATCAAGTACATATATTCCCAGTTGCTCTCTGAAGTGATGATACAGTTAAATATAGAAATTGTATCATCATGGTTTCCACTTGAATTTTTTTTTTTTAAATTTTTATTATTTATTTATTTATTTATTTTTTGGTACTGGGGATTGAACAGGGCCTGTGCTTGCCAGGCAGGTGCGGTGCTTCTGGGCTACATCCCTGGCCCTCCAGTTGATTTTTTTTTTTAACAAACTTAAATTGATCGTAGTGATCAAAAAAGGTTACTGGGCATTCACGTGGAATTTTAAAATGATTATTAATTCAAAATATCAGCCTGTATCATGCTATTAAATTATAATTGGCTCAGGTCATAAGTCTGCTTTATGTAGCTTTAATTTATTTTGTTGTTCCTGAAAACATGGGTAAATATTCAAATAGAATAATTTTAATATCAGACACAGGTTTTATAAGACACTTTGAACCCAAGAAAATTTTTATAAAGATAAATGATTTTTATCTCATACATTTATCTGTTTAGAAAGTTTAATTTTAAATGTGTTACTTAATCATGGCAAAGGAGAGAACTAGTTTCTATAGTGATGAGAATCTGGAAACAAAACATTCTTTGCTTCTTCTGTATTACTCACTTGTGGGAGAAATCCAAAGTACCATGTAAATAAAAAGCGCAATTGGGGAGAGATCCTAGGAAGGTGGGAGAACTTGTCCAGATGGGGAGAGGGAGGGACGTGGGGAGGAGGAGGGAGGGAAAGGAGATAAGAAAAAAATAGAGACAGAGCATTTGTAAATTTGGAGGGGAGCAATGGTTGGAGGAAGGGGAAGAAAAGGGGACAAAAAACCACACCAGAATGAAGGTAGACTTCGTACATGCACACCTTCCACGAAGAATGTAATCATTAGGTACTGAAACAGGAGAGATACGAAGGGAAAAATGTTTCTCTGAAGAGTCAAAAAAATTCTGCATTAATGTACGCTTATCTGTGGAGAACAGGTAAGGTTCAAAGTGGTTGACATTGCAAGTTCTTTTCCTCTTATTTCTGGGACTGTGTGTTTCCTCAGGTGCCTTCTCCCCTCAGCCAAGAGTGTTCTGTGTCGCTGACGACGCCCCTTGTTGCTGCGTGAAGATTCTCCTCCAGCCTTACAAACCTCTTAGTTTTTATCTAACTTTTTATATCTAAAGTAGCTTCTGCTTATTCTATAGCAAAAGTGGAATTTATCATAGTGGGACTCCTGGCTAAGTTGCGCTTTGATATATGTGTTTACTCTTTCAAATTCCTTCAGCCCATTGCAGACTTTGTGTTAAAGGGCCATGCAGTAAATAAATAGCGCAACCCTTCACCAAGCCAAATGATAATATGTAAATGCATTCCTGGCTTTGTGTCCGACTTTTAATAAAATTTAAATCTTACTCGATAAAGTAGGTGGTGGCTGAGCTGGCAGTTTGCCAGCTGCTACTTTCTATGATCCTAGCTCCGCCCAGGCCTGGAGGGGTGGGCTTGTCACGTTGGTTCACTCCTTCACCTGCCATTTTGAGCAGCTGTCCCATGGGGAGCATTGCTCTGTGCACTGGAGTTAAACTGGTAATGGACGGATGAGATCTCTGCTTTTAGGAAATTTACATTCTTTCTCCAGTAGTACACCTTTTGTAGTTCATGAACCCTAACGTAAGTCAGAAATTCAATAAGGTATATTAGGCATTTCCCTAAAGATGCACAGAAACCCTTACACAGTTTAGCCTAAAAGTTCCTTACCTGAAATAAGACACCTGTGTATATTTCTCTCTAAATCTGTGATTCTCAGCTTTGATTCAACATTAGAATAACTGGGAAAGTTTTGTTTTTTTTTTTTTAATTGCCCTTCTTATCCTGCCACAGTCTTTGTAGATTGGACACAAGATTCCCAGAAAATTAGACTGTGCATCAGGAGTTGAGAACCTTGGATTTCAATGAAAAGAATTTCTTGTGGGATAAAAATTTTAATAAAAAATTGTCAGAGTCTTAATTGAATTTTTCTAGAGCTGAATCAGTTTTTATTTTATTTTATGTAATGTAATCTTATTTAAATTCCAGCTGTTTTATGAGCTTGTGCATCGATAGTATTTTTCATAATACTGTCTGGCTTTCTAGGTCTATTATTTATACTTTTTCTTTCTTTTTTTTATAATTGTTCCTTCTAGGACACTGCTGGTCAGGAGAGGTTTCGAACATTAACTCCTAGCTACTACAGAGGTGCACAGGGTGTTATATTAGGTACGTTTTTAACTGCAGTATTCTTTTTCTCTTTTCTTTTTTAAAGACAGGCCTCTCGCTATGCAGTTTAAGCTAGCCTCAAACTTGGGACAATTCTCCTGCCTTAGCCTCCTGAGTGCTGGGATTACAAATGTACACAACCATGCGTGGCTGACTTAATTTATTATTAATATTTATTAAAACTTTAAAAAAATTTCAGTCCTTTGCCTAGCAATTAAAAAATGAAGACAACACTCTGGTTAAAAGTACATGTTAGTGAGGGTGTACTGACGGTGTCTCCACACTGGTCTGTCTTGGACTGTTACCAAACACTGATTTCCTTTCATCAATGAATTCATATTAGCTTCAGTCTGTAAAAAAGGATATTTCTTGCTTAGGAGAATCTGTTCTACCAGTTGTATTTATAAAAGCACAAAGCGCTTAACAGTTTATTCACAGTCAAAATTGAAAACAACAGATGGGCTCAGTGTAATTTGGGGAAAAGTGCTTCCCTTGATATTCCTGGAAAACTAAAATTATTGGCCACTTGTACCAAGAATTTTTATATCACGACTTAGTAGTGATTCTTATAATACTGGTTTGCTTTTGGAAAACAAATTGATACATTTCTGTGTAAGGCGACAGCGATACTAGAGGCAGCACTCAGGACCCCACTCCCTAACTGTGCGGCAGTTTGTTCAAAGTGGCAAATTCTGCTCCTTGTAAAAAAAACAAAACAAAAAGAAAAAATCCCCTAAATTTAGATCTAAACATTCGTATCTGGACAGACCTCATTAATCGTTTTGAACAGGAACAACTGTTGCTTTGGTGAAATTGGTTTTCAGGAATCCGACACGGTACGTAATTTCATTACCATCACCTGTGTTATAGGATTGAGATGTGTTCAGTGTCTCTCAACCCTGGTTTCTTCCGTGGGGATCAGCACAGCTGTTTCTGAGCACTGAGTTCAACAAGAAAGTCTTGGCAGGGTGATGCCAGCTTCCAGGCGCACGGCAGAAACCAGTGTCGCTGCCTCTCACCTTCCGTGCTTGCCTAACACACCTGCTCTCCTTGCAGTTTATGATGTCACAAGAAGGGACACCTTTGTGAAGCTGGATAATTGGCTGAATGAATTGGAAACGTACTGTACCAGAAACGACATAGTGAACATGCTAGTTGGAAATAAAATTGATAAGGTAAGAAGGCAGACAGTCGCAGTTTTTGTTCTGTATCTCGGCAGCTTTTCTTAATCATTATGTTTATCTTTTAGGAAAATCGTGAGGTTGACAGGAATGAAGGCCTGAAGTTTGCACGCAAGCATTCCATGTTATTTATAGGTAAGTGAGTGTATGAATGAATGTCTCCCCTTTCCTGATTAACAAGGAATTTTTTAAAAGTTTTTGCTGCATTTTTGAGCTGTGATTAAAATACAGTGAATGCTTAAGGAAATGTTTCAGAAAGAGACACGTTGCCCTTAATTACTCTTGCAGTCCTCCCTCTTGCTTCAAGCACTCTGATCTGTGTACTGCTACTTCCCGAAGCCGTTCTGAAAGTCCTCTTTCCTGTCTCATTTGTGCACATTGGTGGCTGGCTTGATGCTCCCCCCACCCCGCCCTACTAGGGATCAAACTCAGGGCCTTGCCCTTGCCAGGCAGGCACAGTGCCACTGAGCTGCATTCCCTGGCCCTTGGCCTGATGTTCTGAATCAGTTCGGGATGTTTACTTTTCATGGCCATTCGACTTTGGGGAAGGACCAGAAGTCGCATGTCAGATTTGGGGACAGCTGGATGAGGACCCCAGGCCATCGTGCGTGGTGTTTTTTATGAGTCCGCCCTTCCGTGAGCTGGCACTCAGCAGCAGTCTGCTGCGCTGTGATCACAGCCTGTGAAGACGCTCAGCTGTGATGCCATCACACAGGCCTTCCAGACCAGCCTCAGACAGTGACAAGAACGACAGGGTGTGTGGTGCAGAGCCTGGAGGGGTAATTTGAGGGGCCCGTGGCGATGTGTCTTTTACTGTAATAGGTTTTAAAACTTACATGTTTTGATCATGCTTTATATTTATGACACATGAAATTTGTGTAGTCCACAGTTCTCTTATGCTGCAAAATCTGACTATGAAATGAGAGTCTTTTTCCTCCTGTAAAAATAGAATAGGATGGTATTTCGTGGGGGCGTAGAGAACACAATCGCATCATTCCTCTCAGAATGTGTGGCATTTGGTGGTCTCGGTGCCTGGTGCTGAAGCTGTGTCAGGATCGGCCCCACCTGGGCGTTGGTTGAGAAGCTTCATCTCAGGCCCTGCCCCGCATTTTCTGAGTTAGAATCTGCAGCTTGGAAAAGCTCCTCCCGTGTCTGGTGGGCACATTCACAGCTGAGGCAGGTGGGAGAGGCGTTGGCAGACTACGTCGCGGACCGGCCTGGCTGTGTCCACTCGCCACCCGTCCTAGTCCTCACGGCGGAGGCCAGAATACTCCCCACCAGGCCCTCACAGGAAAGGTTTGCCGAGCCCTCAGTCTAGGAGAGGGGCCGGGGGAGCTTTGAACACCGCAAGTCTTCCGGACTCACCGGGGTCTGAGGATGCAGTTTATTAAAAATGAGGAGAGAGAAGGCTGCCAGGAGAGTCACTGGGCCACAGCCACGGACGGAACTGTTCGAGGCTGGGCCCTTTGTGCAGCAGTGGGGGCGGAAAGGAGAGCTTTTCAGGGTGAGGCAGGAGCTGGACTAGCGCGCTGAGAGCTGTGCGAGGCTGGCGCGCAGTGTGTCGGCCGGGAGAAGGCTGGCGGTGGTGGGAGTTGGGACTGACAGGGTGCTGAGACCCCCGGAGGCGTGGTGGGGAGCCCCGGGTGTGGTCTGACCCGTCCTCTCGTGCAGGGCCCTGGCTCTCGCTTTGCTCTTTCTCTCGTCCCTCTCCTCCCTTTCTTGTCCCTCTGTCCCTCTCTCCCTCTCTTTCTCCTTGGTGAGATTCTGTTTCAAAATATAAAAAAGGGCCGAGGTACAGCTCAGTGCAAAGCCTGGGTTCAGTTCCTAGCACGGCCGCCACCCTAAAAAGGCCGATCAGCAGCTGAGGTGGAGGAGCGGTGAGAAGGACGGATGGGATGAGTCACTTCAGACAGAGGCTCCACGCCGGCGGAGAGTGTACTCGAGTTCCATCAGCAGAAGGAGAGTGGGGTCAGTGTGTTCTTCGTAGTCGGCCACCTAAGATCGTTGTTTGCACACAGAACAATCAGGTTAATCATTCAAGTGGAATAAGGTCTGTTTGGGGCTCATTTTAAAAGTTGAAACTTAGGGAAATAACTCCGGCATAATATTTGAGTAGGGCTTTACAAGTTAGAATTCTGTCCCCAAGTGTTGGGCTTGCATGGCGGTGTTGCAGCGGCTGGCATTTAAATAGAGTTGGGACGTCATTAATACTGAACTCGTGGGAAGGAATTGCTCACATGGCTCTCAGTGTATCACAAGCTGATACGTATGCCGTGAAAGTTTCCCGGAAGAACATGGGGACGTGGCCAGAAAGGAAATTCTCTGACCCTTTCCCTTGACTTTCAGAGGCAAGTGCAAAAACCTGTGACGGCGTCCAGTGTGCCTTTGAGGAACTTGTTGAAAAGATCATTCAGACACCTGGACTGTGGGAAAGCGAGAATCAGAACAAAGGCGTGAAACTGGCACACATGGAAGACAGCCACGGAGGAGGAGCCTGTGGTGGTTACTGTTCTGTGTTATAAACTCTGGGAAGTTCCATCACTTGCATTTTGATGAGATAGTGACACCTTTCTGTACATAAACTCTAACTGCTACTTTAGGGACCTCGCAGTTTGCACATAATTGTTTTGTATCATGGCAGTAAATATTTGCGAGAAATCCCACTCATCGGCTTTTCGCAGGGAAGATGTTATGGTACGCATGCCCAGTTTGTAGTCTGCAGTTTTTATGTAACATAAAGTAGGTGTACCTTTATGAGTGCATTTGATTTTATGGCTTACATTTATCATGTCATTTTCTAGAACACTCATCTGTCCAGTACGTGTCACTACAGAGCCCGCCTTTGGTCTCTTTCACTTAAATACTCCTATTAATTACTGAATTACTTGATGTGTAGAGCTCCTAGGCCCCCCGGGAGGTAAACAGATACCACCAGGCCTGCAGGTTCCGGTGCAGGCACGACCTCCCCACTTCCCAGGCAGTCTGAGAGTCCCTTTCCCTACTAAGCTCAGACTGTAGCTCAGGCCACTACATCACTAACTGTTTGTTCTGACGATGCTTCCGGAATAGGGTTGGTCTATGACAGAAGTCAATATTGCTTTTTGACTTAGCTCGTTGATGGGGTTGGTTGGTTGTCTGTAGTTTCAGTCCCGTGACAGCTACACTGGACTTCTGTTCCTTGGCAGTGTTTTGCGTTACGTGGTGTTCCACAGAACGGCGGTAAGGTTTCTCCTCATTTTCCTTTCAGAAGGACATGAATATGCTTTAGTCCACATCACCTCTACAGCCAACATCTTTTTTCCCAAATATTGGTTGTGTTTGTCCAGGAACCTTCACTGTAACTCGTGTAATGTGTATGGATATCTGTGTCCTAGGCCTTTCATAAACGGCTGGTCCATACTCAAACCTATTTCTGTGTTCTGAGGGGTGGGGAGAAATAACTAAATGACAATTTGAGAGAGGCATATTCCTTCCAGACTCTAACGCATGGGAAAATACTTTTGCAGTGAAAATCTTGATAATTTACCGGGACAAGTAACCATTAGTTTATCAAAACTAACTTGTACACTAATAAATCTTTGCCTCAGTATTGTTTTCTGACTTCTTGCTCTTGTACATTGTGTGTTTTCTCCACTCATATTATTTAATTTACTCTGATCTCTGCTGTTTTAAGTTTATTTGTAATTGACCTTTCAAAGCTGGTCACTATAATACCTTTGGTAAGATTCCGATATTAATTTCTTGGCAGTTTATTTTCTGTGTATAATTGCAAATGATGAACATTTTTGTGGACCTTTGCAATATGTGTGTTAATCATTTTACTTCAGGTTGGGTTCTTTCTGAAATACACATCTTCACAGATGGAAACCTCACGTTCTGCTTGGTTTACTCTTGTTAGTCCACACTACATGTGAGTCTATGTGCATTAATTCTGCAGTGTTACCGAAAGGTAGCAACATGCTTAAGATTTGGTCCTGTAGCATTAAACTTAGATTTATGTATTTATATAGAGTTGTTTTGACAAAACTTTTCTATTACTTTTTGCTCCTTTGGCTGGGTAGCAGCCTTGCTGTACATTGAATTATTGTCTTGATTTGGTCAGGATTTGGATACATGCAGATCACTTGAATATAATTTTAAGAATTTTGTTTGATTTATATTGTAACCTTTCATAGTTTTTGAATAAAGATAGCCTGCTTTCCCTAGATGCACTTGTGCAAGGTAATATATTTTACAGCTCCCCGTTACTCTCCTCAGCTGAGGAACATTTGAATATTGTGTTACTCAGATTTCCTTATGTGTCTTTCATTTCATAATTCTGTTTAAGTTTAATATTTTGTAGTGGAGACTTTGCAAACAATATATTTATAATACTTAAACTCAAGTACCTACATCATTAAGAGGGTTTTAATTGTTTTCAGTATTATTTCAGGTAGTCCTAAAGAGCCTTTCGCAGGTTGTACAAGTATAAAAATTAGAACATAGTATTTGAGTACCAATGTAGACATAAGTAATTTTTCAAGTTATGAGTACTAGTTAGCATTTCCTGAAAGCTTCCTTGGTGCTAGGTTCTGTTCTAAGTACTGAATTACCACATTAAAGATTACAGTAACTGTAAGACGTTGGTACCCCTGTTATACTAGTTTTAATGAAAAGGATGATGAAGCGGGTATTTAGTGTAACCACAGTCCAGGCATTTGCAGTCCTGAAGGCATACTCTTAAGGGTTGTTCCCCCCGTAGAGCTAGTTACTAGCTTTTTGTTTCAACATAGCAAGAGTTCCCGTTTCTTTATCATTGTCTTTTCTTATATGTAATAGAAATACTTCAGATTTATTGATTATAGGATAAATCCCACTGATGTAAACCTACTCCATTAGTCTTATGATCTAAATGTTTAGTAGAGGTGGTGGTTCTTGCAGTTCTTTTGGCTTCTGAGAGAAATAAAAACTCCTGATTTAATAAAAGGTCCAGAGTTAGGGAGCTTACAGTGCTGGACCCCCTTAACTGTATTTGACATCAGAATCCGGGGGCAGTGTCTTCACGTATATTAATGCCGTGTGCCAGCTCAGACTCTGTTGACAGTTTGAGTTGATTTTGATCCCATGTAGTTTGCATGCTCAAGAAATACACTACCAAGTGTAAGAAAGGTCATATTACTCATGGGACAGTCTTTCTTAACACAAGTACAGCCACAACATTTTCAAGCATAGTATATTTAATTGTTTAAGTGGCCTGAAACAGCTGTCCTTTAGGTATTTAAGATGAGAGGTCTTCTCAGTATTCAAGTATTACACTTCTAGTCCTTGGGGTCCATTTCTCTTTTTTGTTTTCCTTTTCTTACTGGGAATCAAACTCAAAACCTTGTACTTTCCCAGAGGCAGGCGCGGTGTCACTGAGCTACATCCCTGGCCCGTTGGAATCCACTCTACCAATAATACTTAGGAAGTTTTTTATCCACATATTTAGTTGGAGAAGGGAGTCAAAACGTTTAATCAGTTACCTGAAGACACTTAATTGGTTCAACTCCAACTCTGCCATGGATAGTCAGCTGTGAACTTTACCTCAGGTTTTGTCTAAAATGTTGAGAGAACAGAATACATAGAATAAGGGACATAGAATGAGTCGGGTGTCTTTTTTTTTTTCATTTTAAATGGGAATACCTGTCAGGTTGGAGTACACAAAAAGGTAGCCAACTTCTGTTATGGGGCTGTAAAGTTTTACTATTTTTGTTGTAAGTTTATGTTTCATACTTAAGAATCAGAAATGTTTGTGCTTGTGGTATCAAGTTTGCATAAATGACTCAGGTGAGGCTGTTTTTTGTTGTTTTTTTTTTTGGTACTGGGGATCAAACTTGGGTCCTTGCACTTTCAAGGCAGGTGGCAGAACCACTGAACTAAATCCCCAGCCCTGATTCTTAACACGCTTTGAGTAGCAGTGACCACTTGTTCTCAGCCTTGCCTCCTTACCATCTCATGTATACAGGTCCTTTTTCAAAACCGGGTAAGCAACAAACTAGTTTTATTTGTTTTTCTTTGACTGCCAGTGAAACAGCCCTTGGAAAGTCTTACTGGGCATTGGTGTCACTCCGGTCTCCTGTTTATGCACGTGCTTTCCTGTAGCCTGTACTTCCTTGTCACCAGTAGCACACCACCCACTTTTCCTTCTCAGCACCTTCTCCCGCACACGTGTAGGGTGGCCGTGTTCCACCCTCAGCGAGCACAGGGCCCGGTGACCCAGGACGGTGCCCTGTGCTCGCTGAGGGTGGTGTGCTACTGGTGACAAGGAAGTACAGGCTACAGGAAGTCACCCTGAGGTAGTAGTACCTAGAAAGCAAGAGGAAGTCTAAATTGGAGAGCCTGGTGCCCTCTGGAAACTCGGGATTGAATCAGACCTGAAGCAAGGAGTTTCGGATCTCACTCACATAGACCAATAAAGTCATATTTTGTAGAGTGATTTTCACTTGAATTGGGAAGCCACTAAATAAACAGTCGGTGTGAGTGTATGTTTTAGTAACGTTTCAGTAGGTTTACTTCTGTATATTTCTTCATGAGTATATGCATAGGAATTTTGTGCATTAACTTTGTATGCGCCACTGTAAAGACTCCTTGATCGATGGGGTCTCGTGTATTGTCCCTTACACTTCTGTCACTCAGTCCCTCCCTCTGTCCTCTGCCCGGAGCAGTAGTGACACAGCCTGGCTTGTGTGCTTTGTCTCATTTGCCTCTGTAGCCATGCACACTTGTACATATGCATACATATATATAGTTAGAATTGGGTTTCATTTTTTAAAGTCTTGTTTTATAATACCTGTATATTTATGTCTGCATGTTTTCCTTGTCTAACAGACTGTGAAGCTCCCTGTAAGCCCACAAACTATATACGCGTAACATTCATTTCAGTAATACATTGTAAATAATTCATAATGTGGATAAACCATGGTGTATTCAGCTGTTTCTCTAATAATTGACATCTTGCCCCCCCCCTTTTTTGCCAGTGCAGACAGTACCATAGTATGTGTAGTGTTAGATATCTGAGTTCTGTTTCATAGTAAGTATCCTTGGTAGATACCCAAGAGTTGAATCCATGGGTCAAGGAAAATGTATTTTAAATTTTTGAGGTGGATGTGGTGGTGGGCGCTAATAATCCCAACACTTGGGGAGGCTGAGGCAGGAGGATCACCCTAAGTTTGAGGCCAGCCTAAGCTACATAATGAGTTTAAGACCAGCCTGAGATACATGGTGAAACCCTGTCTCAGAAACAACAACAAAACCCCAAATAAATTGGGATATATTTTTCTGATAGCTTTCCAAAAGTCTGTAACAGTTTTAATTTCACTAACAGTATCATTTGCCCTGTATTTCCCCACCAACCTCAAGAGAGTTTCTTTCCTATTTTAATTTTTGCTGCTTTAATATTTATAATTTGTGAAGTGTAGCAGTTTTTGTAGTAGTTCTTCAGGCCTGTAGTGTATTTGGAGTCACCTTTTTGAAGTGATTATCGTGTCCCTTGACAGTTTGTGTGGATTATCAGTTATGTGAGCTTTGTGCGCTACAGATATGAACCTATACGTGTCTCTTACAAGCACTTTTTTCTAACCTAAAGTTATTTAAAAAATTATCTTCTGTTCTACTTACAATTAAAAAATACTTTATCGTCTGGATTCCCCAACACTTGAATTATTGATACAGTCTCCGTAATCTCTTAGGAGATTTTTTTCCTAATAACGTGGAATTCGCTTGGGCACAGCACAGGAGCCATCTCTCCCATGTGGACAGCTAGCGGCGCCAGCCCTGTATTGACCAGCTGTCCTTTATGTACCTGAGTGTTCTGTAAGTTCTGGAGTCTGCTTTGGCCTTCTGTTGTAGGGACTCTTAGTCCTGGAAGAAATGCATTTCACGACAGTGGGTTTTGTTTAATGCTGTGTATTTTATGCTTTACAAAACATCCTCAGAGTGACTACAGGTTCCACTGTCAGATGTCCCAGAGGCCTGGTAAAGCCAAAATGTTGCTGATAGTATCTCTAGAGTTTTGTGGCTTGTAAGACCCGTGTTTTTGCATTCTTTAGGGGTTTTTGTTTTGTTTTTGTGACAGACTGAGTGACTTAGATCCCATCTCAGAAATTACGGAAGCCACAGCTCAGTGTGAAGATCCTGGGTTTAACTCTCTTCCCCCCAAAATACCCCAGACCACACTTTTACCTTTGCCTATTTCCCCTTCTAATGTACCCTTTAAAAAAATACATTTACATGAAGGACTTTTATCTGAATACTAGTTGTACATCACTGGTAATCAGTCAGTGACTTGTCTTTTTATTTGAAATACTGCACACTACAACATTTTTAAATAAAAAAGTGATCATTTTAGTCTGTTCTTAAAAATCGGCGTTCAAACTGGTATCGTGTTCCTGTGTTCAATACAAAAACTGGTAACGCACGTCTTGCCAT